GTTTTTAGGTCACCCTGTATATTTAAGCCTCTCTCTGTCCATGTAATCCAGTTGCCTCTGAAGATGTCTTGAATAAAGACGAAAGCTAAGGTACTCCGTTGTTTCCATTTTCCCGTGTGATTTTATCAACAATAAATATATGCATCATTTGGATCATCTGAAGATTAGCCATCCCAGCTTATTTCACCTGAAAATTAATTACCATAATACTAACTTAACCTAGCCCAAACCCTTCCCCAGGTAGTGTTATGGTGATTAATCTCCGCATGAAGAACAGATGTTGTAAGTACAGATGAGTTTAATAAAATCGCAAATTTCTTGTAAATGCAAACATGGAAACATCAGAATATTGTCTTGGCCTTGGAAATGCAGACCGATTGCATTATTAATCGAAGTTAACCCTGCAAAAAAGTGCCAGATCCATTCACTATCACTGACAAGAACTGGTCGAATGACATCACAAAGCTTCTCAACATTTCATGGAGACGCGTGACTGACGTCCGGAGTTTTAATCACCGTCTTCCGTTGATGGGGGTCGTCGTGTTTACAACCAATCAGTTACAAAAAAAAAAAAAAATGGCTTGACGAAGAGGTGTTACGGTAAAATGAAGTAATTCCAATATTATAAGTTAATATCTGATGGATACTCCTAATGTGTTTACGAGTCATGAAAACCGACAACATTCAATTCTACATACGGTGCTACTATAACGTGCGGTCTACAGATATCTTTAGTATAACCTGACCTAATCTAACCAAACTTTAACTAAATATCTTGAAGACCGCATGCTATAGTTATAGTAGTGTAGTGGATTTCTCCCCTACAAACGCTGTTTGTCGCTGGCTAGCCGACCCAGCGAATTCCCCAGTGTATGCCTCGTGGTCTAGGTCAGCAACCAGCGCCGCCTTACATGACTGAGGTCAACTATTAAGCCACGCCTACCCCCACTATATAAGACCTGACCTCGTGGTGCCCTACCTCTCTTTCGGCCTACACCAACAAACAACACCTCCTCCTCCTCCTGCCTGGCGGCCCTCGCTCCCGCCGGCGAGCATGGCGACCCACAGGCTGGTCCTCCTCTGAGCATCCTCACCAACCAGCTCTCTCTACATCACGCTTGTAACCACGCTGCCACTTCCCAGCACCAAGCTGCATTGTACATCCAATACAACATGTATACAGAGAGCACATTGTGAGTTTCCTTTCTCCACCCCATCCTGAGTGTGAACCAATATCTCGTACCCCACAGTAGTATCCATTCAAGCTATACTAAAGTAAACCTCAAAATTTTGACTTTTATTAAACCCTTAACGGCTTAGATTGTAAAATAAATAAATAAGGAATATGCCTTTATCGATATTATTATAGGTCAAGGAAGGCAATTTTTAGGTTTTACCTAAAATTGTTGTCAATTACACAAACACGGATATGAATTTGTTGTTAGCCACGCATTTTCCTTGGGCCTAATCCCCCTACGAAGTTACATTGAACTTACTAAAATTAAAATGGATTCCAAAACTCAAAATAACAACACAAATTCTTACCAGAAATAAAATGTTCTCCACAAATTATTGCTCGAGATATTTCATCTTGAAACAATGGCTTCCAGTCTTCCCTTCTGATGGCAGTGATCCAAGCAACGAGTCTTCGTCGTTCGGAGACAAGGAAAGCATATAAAAGGAAGCGCGTCTCGGACGTCTCCCACCAATTAGCCCGCCATCTAGTGGGCAGGCCTGATACAGTATATAGTCTTTGACGTTCCGAAGGAGAACGATTTTGTGTTTTTTAAGGGTATACTATGATAAAAAATTAATATTTAGCGAAAACCGTGATATAACTAAAAAAATTCCTTTAGATTTCTTATTCTACACTAATTATAATTGTACACTAGAGCATAGAATCTGGGGGATACCTCCCCCTATGATCAAGATGAGGAATTTCCTGTATAATCATCCCCCCTACTGTACTACTCATGTACTTCTACAATGGAAATGAAAGTGCAAGTGGAAAGAGGTGACGACACATGTAGCTTTTCATTTCAGAATGAATCGTTCGACTGTTGGTATGATTTTAAAGGACAAAGAAAGAATTATGGAGCTATGCAATCGACCATCATATGTAAGAAGAAAATGCATGATGAGATTGAAGAACTTTTGTGTTTGTTGTATTGTGTTGTGGGAGCATTTTTCATATTATTCATATTTGAAAGTGATAGAGGTGAATTTGGACTTACGAACAGATCTCCGGAATCTATTATATTCATAAGTGGGGGACTGCCTGTATAAGACCCATTTCCATGGAAAAATTCATGTTTACACTCATCATTATTTAGCAAACGACTATGCATCATTGCCCTATGTTCTGAGTAAATGAAATTCTTTCAAAATACTCAGCACTACACTAGAATGTGCAATATATGAGTGTTACAACTATAAAGATGTAACACCAAGAGACATAAACATTACAATAAGCTACCATTTACAGTATTTATATATATACAGTACTGTATAATTATACAGTACAGGGGGTTTCCGACTCACGAAAGTTTGACCTATGAACACCCGCTACTACGAACGAGGTCCCATAAGGTCAATTATTTTAAGAATCCAACATGGTACAACTGATTCATAGTACTGTATTAACATAGGAGAACCAGTTTGCGTGGCGTAGCAGCGCGTGTGGAGTAAAGCATCACCCAACCACACGCCTTGAGAGCGTCAGTACACTTTGCCCTCGCTGCATTAAAGTGTATGATCCAGTGTAAACTGTTGTTTTTTGCCTATTAATTTTTTTTTGCCCTCACCATGGCTCCCAAATGCAAACCTGATGCAAGTGATAGTCGTGCATCCAAGAAAAGGAAAAAAATCACAATGGAAGTGAAGGTTAATGTAATTAAATGTTCTGAAAAGGGCAAAACACCCTCAATCATTGGTATAATTTTGAAAGACAAACAAAATTCTTGAATATGTAAAAGGATTTACACCAATGCAGTCGACTGTGATAACAAAACAAAATTAGTGGATTGTTAATTGAAATGGAAAGATTGTTAGTGATATGGGTGGAAGATGAAAATCAACAGGATTTGCCTTAAGTCTAGCCTTGGTTCAAGAAAAAGCAAGAAGCTTGCATGCTGACTTGAATGCAAGTGTTAAACTTTAATTTTTAATTTCAACTGTATTTTTCCATTCACTTTCTTCTTTTCTCTTAAATTAAGTGATTTGAAATATAAAATAGGACTTAGGCTGTGTGTTCCGACTTACGTACATTTCCAACTTGAGAGTTTCCTCTTGAATGAAACTTGTCCGTAACCCGGGGACACTGTATTTGTACATCATTTTCATATGAATTGCCATAATAAGGGTTTACTGTATATCTCCCTTAGTAAGTCAGTGCAATATATATAATCTGAGCATGTAACAGGAAAATACCTGCACTGTATATGGCCACAGTCCTGGCATGTGTACCTTCCACTAACAACTTGGGTCAATAAGCAAAAGCACTCTACTTACGTGAAATAACACATACTATGTACAAAACTAACATCCAGGCCTGCATGGCAAGTCAGCATCACACGATAGGGACCTGAATAAAGACTAGGCTATCCATGTAGCTGGAGCAAACTCATACAAGGTCCTGAATGAATGGAATCGATTGCATCTGAAGTGATGAGCCAGCTGAATGATTTACTAGCTACTGTAAACAAATAGCAGATGATGGTGCTCCACGACCCTCTGACGGAGACACGATGATCCTCCCAATACTGGCCAGATATTTTGTAAATAATAATGATTATGTGTTTAAGGAATATCCTTCCTTCCTTAGGCTTTAGTAAGCCCCTTTATAATATTTATACTGTATATACTTTTCACACTTGCCAGATGCTTCTGGTGTCATTGTACAGGGGTACCTAGTGACAGCACTAGGATCCCACTTCCTCTATCAAGGAATAAACAATTGAAATTGAATTGAATTGATGATGGTGCATGTTTATGCTCACAAGCATCAACTCTAAACCTTTAGCCTTTTGGGTACAGAACATTCCTTTATAGAATCCAGTATGTAAGTGAAGGACTATCTACCTTGTCAATTTGTCCATACTATATTTAGATTCAAGTCAAGTTTTGGTCTTAGGATCTGGAGACTCAACCATCTACAGAAGACTTGCTGGATGTACTGATTTGCTTACGCCTAGTGGTGTAAGATACTAAAATCTTAGGTTACTGTATATGAATCAGTGATATGATAATCAAAATTGCCAGAAATTATTAGCTTCTGCTTAATAAAATCACCAACCAGCATATAAGAATCAAAAGGACACACTCCAAACTTGACAAGTGACTCAAACTTTGTTAATGTTAATTTTAGTTCAATGTGTTTTAATAGGTGACATGCATTTTGTAGAATGGAAAAGAAGTGACCTACAAATACTGAATATAATGTATCAACTGGCACATACATAACAAAGCCCCTGACAAGTATGGCTTGATGTGGGTATTGTGACTCCCAAGTTCTACCACTCACAGCAAGTCCAGGCAGATTTTGTGATCCACCACACAAGATGGCAGCCAGAGCTTGAGCTAAACAACGGAATTATGTTTTGGGAATATAGACGTGAACCTGTTCAAAAATGTGGAATCAAGAGTTCACAAGTGCTGCTGCTTCAATGCAAACAAGCCTCACTTGAAGCATTTTTCAAGTTATTAGCTCATGACAATGTCCTCATTATACTGTATTCGACTTCCAATAATATACTGTATAAAACTTGTTTTTGAATTCCAATACATGATGTGTATTAGACTCAAAAAGGGGGATCTTCTGTATAAGAATCAAAAGGTTTTTGCCCCAAGTGATTCTTATTACCGAAGTTGTATTTACCCAAATTCATTAATTTTATACCCAATCAGCTTGCCTCATCTGCATGCAAACATAAGCCTACTCAGCTGCCATAATAATTATCAATGCCAATGACATTATAAAAAGGATAAGTCATACAGTTATATAAATCCTTAAAATTTAAGCACATTTATTCCAATACTATGTGACAGTAACTCTTGGCAAATGCCTCTATGGCTCCCCTGGAGTTAACCTCAGTAGCCTCAACAAAATGTACCAACACTATCTTTCTTTGGAAATTTTAGCAGTTGATATGCTTACACTTGTGTAAATAATAACCTTACAATTACTTGTACAGCCTTGTGGTAAAACCATTATTCCTTATAAATTACAACCACTTCATACTTAATGAATGTTCTCTTATGTACTGTACACACACACCATAACCTAATGCATACTAAACACAATAATATCACTAACATATGTTTTCCACCACCACAGGTATCTAGGTACAAAGGATTACAAGACAAAAGCTCATCTTATTACATTATGAAACACTCCAATGCCATACCATAAACTTCATTAATGAACTTAGGTACTGTAGTTTCACAATCATGAATACAAAAATTATCAATCACGTGGGGGAAAACATACTAACACAGGGACGTATCATAACTAAAGCTGCTTGACTCCTTACTGTAGTTCATGCTAACTAAAACTAACATATTTACTATCAATGCTGAGGAAGTTCCTCTACCTTTTAACAAAACTTAAAGAAAAAAGGCATTCACAGCAGCTACTTCTCTTTTAAGTGAACTGAATGTAAAAAAACAAAGCGTAATACAGTACCTGAACTACTGTTTAGTTTTTCATATTTTTTTTTACACAAAATGAAGGAAAAGACAAGTAACAAACATGTTATTGGGTGCAAGTACTATATCAAAATTATAATAATAATAGCAATAACAAGTAAAAAAAAAACCTTAATGGGTATTTGTTATTGAAAAAAACAAACTTATCAGGCAATTATAGAGATAATCCAGAAAACAATTTGTAATAAACCTGGTTTTCTTCACAATCAATAAATTTACAATTGTGTACGTATACCAGACCATAAGAAAAGCAATGTATGACACAAATGCAGGTCTTTTTCCATTTTTTCATCTATAAAATATGAATTTGGTACAGTATTTATAAACTCTTATGTACAGCCTGCAACTTACTTCAAAGAATGTTGCTGACAGTATAATTGTCTACTAATGGTGCTGACACTACTAATTACAGCAAAGATTGTATCTGAGAGCAAAAAAAATTGCCTAATGAACAGTATGAAAACATGGCATTGTTTTTTTCCCTTAACAGAATTCAGTATTTCCTGTCTGAGTAACAAAGTACAGCTACTTGAACATTACAGTTTGTGCAGATATTGTGAATGGAATTGAAGGAAGTGGCTGGGACCTACCATTAATATTTACAACAGACAATTGGTCCGACAAGATATTTGGTTATACTTAGGTTTCCAGTATTATAAATTAAGCAACTGTGGGAGTTCTTGTCTGGGTCTAGGAGGTGCTTCAAAGTGCTTTTACAGTTTTGAAACAATAAGCATTTACTGGTTCCAGTACCAAATAAATCCATATCTGTCTTCATACTGTACCAGGAAAATGTTGTGACTTACGATGTAAATTGGCTTCCAAATTAACAAAATATTTTCAGTTTAAAATAAATGGAATTTCATCAGTTAAGAACTATGAAAGACCATTCGTCTTTAATTACTCACAGCATGGTTCTATATTTAAATCATTACTTTTGAGATTGTAAAAATTAATTTTTACAATCAGTAGTTGGACAAAGGCTTCCCTCTTCTGTTCCATGTCTCTCCTAATCCTTGTCCTCTTCCTCCATCTCCAATATCATTTCCTCCTCCGTGCTGCCAATGAGTTGATGAATTAAGTGATCGAGATACACTGCCATACTGGTTTCTGTTCGAGTCATATCCAGACAAACCATAGTCTCTCTCTGCAAAGCGTGATGTGTTTTGAGATGAAAACTGGTTCTCTGGTTGGAGTTGGTCCTTCAAACCACGAGGTCCCTGTGACCGAGACATGTCACCATATTCATGCATGTTTGACATTCCGGAGGGTGTTGAAGCAGGAGGATAATTGGGCCCTCGAAGAAGAGAAGAATTCTGTGTTCTCATACGGTCATTCACAGACTGGTAGTCCCCAAGCAAGCTCTGAGACCTTGGGTGGCTACCATCTGCTGCTGGAGCATTAGTGTTAGGATTTTTGAGGGACGTCCAAGGTTGATTTGGACCACCGGTTGGCCATTTACGAGACCGATCGTTATCGGACCGCATATCTAGTCCCCTCATTTCTGGACCACGACTGTCTGGCCCCCTTATATCAGGACCACGAGTGTCTAGTCCCCTTATATCTGGGCCACGAGCATCTGGTCCCCTCATATCTGGGCCACGAGCATCTGGTCCCCTTATATCTGGGCCACGAGCATCTGGTCCCCTCATATCTGGGCCACGAGCATCTGGTCCCCTCATATCTGGGCCACGAGCATCTGGTCCCCTCATATCTGGGCCACGAGCATCTGGTCCCCTCATATCTGGGCCACGAGCATCTGGTCCCCTTATATCTGGGCCACGAGCATCTGGTCCCCTTATATCTGGGACAAGAGGGTCTGGTCCCCTTCTTGCATAACCTTGGTTGTATTGGCCTCTATTATCTGATTCCCATGCATCTGAACCATACCGGTCTGAACCTCGTGCTTTCAGTCCTCGCATGTCTTGATCTCTTCTGTTTCCGTAAAGCACCTCTGGAGGACCCGCTTCTGGTCGTCCTTTCCCCATCTGTGGAGAGAAATAAAAACTATACAATGATTCCCAGGCACTATATTCTAAAATAAAGAGGGAAACACGAGAATTTTTTTTTTTTCAGGAATTTGTCATCCAGGGAAGAAGTTGACCAAGCACAGAAATATAGTACAGTCGACCCTCGTTAATTCGGACCCCTTTAATCCGGATAATTCGGACAAAATCTGAACTTTTTTTTAGATTTGTAGGAATATTAACTACGCAGACCTTAAGCTAAAATGCTGGTCCACCCACTGCTGGGATAAAACACCAGCATCTTTTTGGTTAAATCTAACATCTCCACCACTAGTGTGGGGGGGATGCAACTTTTAGTTTCAGACATGAAAAATATTTACCATTTACTGCCAGTAAACAATGGAAACGTAAAATATGTACCAATTAGTAATGAAAAGTTGTGCAGTTCCTTCAGCAAATGAAGCTCACCAACTTACAATAGGCTAAATTACCTTACAAAGTATTTTCAGTAGTCTATGTTGAAGTTCTTAGCACAGGCTAACTTATCATATCATATACGGTATCACAGTTCTCATTGGTCTACAAAAAATACTGGTAATAAAAACCTTTTTGATATTTCACACTTATAATACCTGGTAATCTACTTCAACCTCCTATTGTTTACAACGATACATGACGCACCACCAGCTGTTGAGTATCAGCTAGACGGTACACGTGTCTTTCGAATCGTTTTCAGTTAAAAAACTGTTACAGCACATGTATATTCAACCTTAACTGTGCCTGAATGAATATATTCTCGGAAATAAATAGTAGTTTTGCTGAAATGTGATGTATTTTAATGTAAAATAGGATAAAATACATGACGAAAACAAAAGATTTTACCTAACCTTCCGATGTTCAAGAGAAGTTACTCGTTTTTTTAATTGTTTTGGTTAAAATACTGTTATACTACAATGGTATTCTATTCATACTGTGCTTGATATAATGCATTCACGGAAATGTAATATTTTTGCTGAAATGACGTACGTATTACAGTGGGATAAAATAGTGACGAAAACAATGACTTTCGCTTTCTTTCGTTCAAAAGATGTTACCATAATCGCTTTTCGATTGGTTTTCAGTTAAAAAACTGTTGTATTACAATAATATTCTATCCTAATTGACTTGAATAAATACTACGATACCATATTTCTGAATATTTTCATTAAAATCCATCCAAATCATTTTCCTTGTCATCGTCTGCAGCATCAAACAGCTCAAACAGCTTCTCCCAGTCCTCTCCTTGAACAGGGCTAGAGGGTACGTGTTTTTCTAATCGTTTTCAGTTAAAAAACTGTTACATCACACGTATATTTTACCTAAACTGCGCCTGAATGAATATATTCTAGGAAATAAATAGTAGTTTTGCTGAAACGTGATGTATTTCAATGTAAAATAGGATAAAATACATGACGAAAACAAAAGACATTACCTAAGCTTCCGATGTTCTTGAGATGTTATTTGTTTTTTTAAAAGTTTTCGATTAAAATACTGTTATATTACAATGATATTCTATTCATACTGTGCTTGATATAATACATTCACGGAAATGTAATATTTTTGCTGAAATGACGTACGTATTACAGTGGAAAGTGGGATAAAATCGTGACGAAAACAATGACTTTGAAATATAATGCAATATTAACCCCTAAATCGGTTAATTCGGACAATCGGCTAAAACGGACACCCTTCCCCCCTATTAGTCCGAATTAACGAGGGTCGACTGTATTAGCATATTGCATAGACAAAATATCTACTAATAATGGTCTCTTTCTTGGCCACACAGCATAGAATCAGGATCTAGGAACTCTGTAAAACACCCACTACATTATACTGTATTGCACTAATGATGGGTCCAATCTTCATTTAATTATTACAGTTCCTCCCCGACTTACGACCGCCTCAGTCGTACCAAAATTTTGTCAAATTACGTAATTTCGAGTCCCAACGTCAGTGATTGCGCTGTGTACTGACAAAATTTTCGTTTGTAATTCACTTTAAAATGGCTGGCAAGCTTAAGTGAGAATTTTGTGGTGATGAGAAGAAAAAGATACACCCATTTTAGATTTTCTAAGTATTATTTAAGCATTTTCGACTTACGACCTGGATTTGGATCCCTAACCCCATTGTAAGTCGGGAAGGAGCTGTATTTGAATTTCAGATTTGGTCTTATTCACACCAGTCAGGAAAGTGCACTAAAAAAATATATCTGGGGGCGTATTCCTGAAACATGCATAAGGATAAATGACTTGATCACCATAGTGTCAATACCTCATTGTTTCAGAATTTTATGCTCAACTATTCCCCAAAGTTGAGAAGTGTTTATACTTAAGAGAACATTAACTATCAGCCAACAACTTACTGAATCTCTTGGGTAATCATTCCTTTGGTTAAACCCTGGAGCATTGTTGTGGTGGGCATCTTTTCTCTGGTTTGCTGGATGGTCTCGCATCTTCTTGAATTCTTGAAGTTCGTTTTCTAATTGTCCCTTTTCTTCTTGAGTCTTTTTCAATGTAGCATTGGCCTTAGTTAAAGATTCTCGAACCTGAATTACTTCTTTTTCTAAAGCCTCCAACTTTTTTTCCAATTGAGCGTTACTTGATTTTTGTTTAACTTCCAACGCTTTTCTTATATCACTGTTCTCAAGCTCCAGCCGTCGAACAACTTCCTGAGTCTTCCTACTATCTTGAGTTAAGTTGTTGTTTGCAACTGTTAACTTTTCCAAAGTTGCTTTGTGATTTAAAGCATCTTCATTAGCAGTTGTCCGTAGTTTTGAGTTCTCGTGTTGAAGGCTGACATTTTCTTGCATTACATTGTTCAGTTCATCTCTAAGGTCAGCAATTTTTTGTTCCAAATTCCTCCTCAAGTCAATATTATCATTCCTTAAATTATAAATTTCTTGCAACATCCTCTCTGAATCATTTGAATTGAAATCAAGTCTTTCTCTATCATAGTCCATTCTGTCATCCCACCTCCTTTGATTGTCACCATAATCATCTCGAGGGGTAAACATCGGGTCATCACCAAAGTACCTTGGCCTTTTTGCCTCGGGTTCAAAATCTGAATGTGATAAGAGTGTGGTGCGTAGATCATCTGGGGCAAGCAGATCATCACGGAAGTCAACTGGGGGTGTACCATACTTTGGTGGTTCATGGTAAGTGCTCATGGAACTATAGATATTTCGGGAGGGGGACGAAGGACGTCTCTCTGGGTGACCCAACACAAACTCAAGCTCATCTTGCAAGGCATGAAAAACTTCATCTTCATATTCACGCTGACTTAGATGTCGAAAACGGCAATTTTGCATATTGCAGATTCCCTTCAGGAATTCCTGAAAAGTATAAAAAAAATTGAAAACTAGTTTACATTCCTAAGTATAGGATTGGATGCAATAATACTAACTAATTTACCACAAAACAGGATTTACTGTCATGAGAGAAGTGAGTTAAAGGTACGTGGAGCATCAATGAGGGAGGTGGTATGGAAACAATAGGTTAGAGCTGTGGTTTATTCCTTTGTTGTTGTTTCTATACCACCCTCCCTCACCACACGTCATAATAAATGTATCAATGGTCACACAAGCCATAATATGCACCAATTGTTAAATATGTACAGTACCAAGATTCATTATGTTCTGATTTTCTTCTTAACTCATCAACTGTAGCCAATATCATACATCATGTGATGTTTCAACCTTTACCACTTGAGCAAATTTGACACACACACACACACACACACACACACACACACACACACACACACACACACACACACACACACACACACACACACACACACACACACACACACACACACACACACACACACACACACACACACACACACACACACACACACACACACACACACACACACACACACACACACACACACACACACACACACACACACACACACACACACACACACACACACACACACACACACACACACACACACACACACACACACACACACACACACACACACACACACACACACACACACACACACACACACACACACACACACACACACACACACACACACACACACACACACACACACACACACACACACACACACACACACACACACACACACACACACACACACACACACACACACACACACACACACACACACACACACACACACACACACACACACACACACACACACACACACACACACACACACACACACACACACACACACACACACACACACACACACACACACACACACACACACACACACACACACACACACACACACACACACACACACACACACACACACACACACACACACACACACACACACACACACACACACACACACACACACACACACACACACACACACACACACACACACACACACACACACACACACACACACACACACACACACACACACACACACACACACACACACACACACACACACACACACACACACACACACACACACACACACACACACACAGGTATATATATATATATATATATATATATATATATATATATCTTGATAAAATCACACGGGAAAAGGAAACAACGGAGCACCATAGCTTTCGTCTTTATTCAAGACATCTTCAGAGGCAACTAGATTACATGGACAGAGAGAGGCTTAAATATACATTGTGGATCTACATTTTATATATATATATATATATATATATATATATATATATATATATATATATATATATATATATATATATATATATATATATATAATCAACGACCTCACCAGCCAATTTATGTATACATGCTGGCACACTAACCTTGCAGGTGGGCCTGGTGCCAGTGAGAGCCACATCAAGGACCAAGGCCTTACGAACAGCCTGGTCCACCACCTGAGGGACAATTTCTCCAGTTGCCCTGAATGTTTCTTCATCTTCTTTTGTGATGTGGAAGAACCTGAGGGGATGTAATTATAAGTAGATTCTTACTGTTATATACCTGTACAGTAATAAGAAAGTGCAGGAATTAGAATGAACACAAAACAAGAGTTAAACTAAACTGATTTACCAATAATGTAACAAAACTTGTAAATTTGTACATTCAGTTTTGCACTACGTATTTCTAGTCCACCATGTATAAACACTTCAAGGGACCACATACTACATTCACATTAATTACATATAAAAATACTCACATGGCAGAGTTGGTGACATCTACTTTACAAAAGAAACAATATAAGCATTTATTAATTGGAGATTCATGATAACACCTTATATCCCACTGGACAGGTTACCAGTTAGCTCAATAACTTATAAGACCATGGTACTTAATACAGTACTATTTTCTCATAAAGTAGAAACTTTCCTTCAGAGGGAAGTCAACTGTCATACCACATTAAGTCAGCAAAAATTTTTCTACCTATACTCTATTTTATTTTTGCATGAGATTCTTGATGCATCACCCCCAATCTGTTTCCAATTTGAAACCGGAAAGAGGAGGGTAACATGACCCTGACTAATTTAACTGAGGATTATTCATTAAGACACCTAACAAACTCCTACATGTTCACAATAAAAACATTCAGTATGCAATACAGTCGGAAGGCTGAAAAATGTCAAAAAGAACTCCAAAACCATAGTATTAAAATGTTTTTGACTCTTTGGTTTCACAGTAATTGGAGAGGAGCAATTGTAGCTGTCAAACTTTCACTCCCTTTTTATGCTGAAATCAAGGGCAGACAAAACCGCATGGTAAACTTTCCTCTTCTTGCACAGGTGGAATTGCGCCTAAGGCCATGACCAGTTCCCTTGAATCTGCTCTACTGTACAGTACAAGTATATCCAAAAAATGAAGTACCTTCCTTCAGACTTTCTTTAAGGCAATGGATTGATCTTTATATATATATATATATATATATATATATATATATATATATATATATATATATATATATATATATATATATATATATATATATATATATATATATATATATATATATATATATATATACATACACACACACACAAGTATTTTGGGGGTACAACAGGGTCAGGTAGATCTTGTAACATGAGGCACTTACTATGGGGTACCAGAGTCTTTAGACACCCCCCCACCCAAAATCAGCCTAGGTTATTCTGTTAATCTGGAGGATATACCAAATATATTTCCCTCCCCCCTGCAGTCTCAAATGGAAGGAACATGATGCAGTGGCTTCCTCCCCTCCACCATCCACAGTAACAGGTTCCATCAGTTATAGATAGTTATTTTCAATAATCATTAATACAGTACTAGGACCAAAGAAACATGTGAACCCTTGTGAGCAGGAAACAAGCATGAGTCATGTTCATCTGCTGCCTGATATGGATCCAAAATCAGTAAATCATCTCAATGAATGATACAAAAGATACCTACCAGGCATATGTCATATGAAAAAATCTACTCAAACTACCCATTACTGTTCCACATTACCCCATAAAAGCCAGATCCTGGGTCCAAATACTGGTAGTGTGCGAGAATGAGAGTACACTTAAGGTGTCTTTGAAACTGGACTCCTTTATCTAACAATGAGCCATAATAACCACAACCAGTTATCTGTCTAAACATGGTACACCAACAATGGAACTTCCCTGCATTGTTATATATGTCCCATACCAAATACCAAAGTCTAGTTTGTAATAAAGAACTGTATAAGTCCTCTCAGAATATACGATGGAATTTCCTTGCGTCACAGTCAAGTACCCAACTCCAACAATATAGTCTATATCATTATGGAGAATATTATATCAGTCTAAGGATTCTAGTTCATGAGTCTGAACCTTGGGGTTCTTAGAGAAGCAGGAGAGGCAACAGGACTTTTGACAGTGCACTAGGAAGGACCTTGACCCAACTTTTTGATGCGACTGATCAGAAAACCATTTGCAGAAACAAAGCAAGTGATCGAGAAACAAACTAGGCAGAGGTAAGATGGAACTTGTTGCCGATGATGACTCTTCTACAGCATTCCAGCACAGATGAGATTTAATACATTATTTAGCCAATAAAGATTTGATTTAGAAAGGGTTGATTGGATAGTGCCTGACAAACATTAAGGATGGCATCAACTGAAACGGCCAGCAATGCAGATGGTGCACAAAACACATGACCAAGACCCCCAAAACTGCAAGTGACCAACTTCGAAGGTACATTAAAATGACGGCAGCACTTTCTCAATACCCACAACCGCAGCTCACATACCAATAAGACACTATGATCTACCAAGGATGGGAAATGCTGATGCTGAATACAATATTGAGAGAGCATCATCCGAGGACAGTTCCTAAAAACTTTCAGCAACGTGAGCTTGTACTGTAGTTTCACATCATAATGTTTATTTTTGTAACTACATTCAAGAATGGCAGCCATCTTTGTTGTTGTGTAGTTAAATGAAAATATTCAGGAACATGCTTAAAACTTTTTAACAAAATGAGCCAAAAATTTCTAACAAGAAGAATTCAAGGCTTCTATTTAATAGTAACAGTAGCCATCTTGGATGAATTATCCTGTTGTCAGATATTAGTTTGAACAAAAGTCATCCACAATACATTTCTGGGTAGTTTCAGTTATGAGAATATACTCTCCATATGTAGCTACTGGGCACAGGTCATACAGGGGAGTGCATATGAACTCGGTGACCTGTTTGACTTGACCGTGTACATGTTTGCTTTTTACAAGACTCAGATACCAACAATAACAATTGTTTTTAAAGATTGGAAGCAAAACAGCTGAAAACATGTACTGTACAGTAATTAGTGTGATAGGAAAAAAAAAATCCTTTAAACAAATGAGTTCTATTAGACTGCCATAACCAAACAGTTTATGGTCCTCTAAACACGTGCCTATGGTTCACTTTATGAGGAAAGGTTTCTACATACACCTGGTAATGCTGTAGTAGAATTAGTAGTTCGGCTGGGCACTTTTCCTAGGCTTAACTCGCATGGCAACAGAGATTATATATGTTCGCTCTATTCTCCACACCGAAGCCATAAATCACCCTGGGGCAATGTGACAAACATCGCCTCTATGGCAAACTGTTGCCCAATGGGTCACTGTCCACAGTCCTCATTGGTCGCATATAACTCTACCTCTGCAGTAATTCTTAACGGAAAAAATACCCTCTGCTGTGACTGGAAATTGCAGGATTGGAAGTGGTTATAAAGAAAATTGAAAGGTTTGGGGCAAGATCTACCTCAGTTTGGAATTCAGTTTGTGTGCAGAAATGTGAAACATTGACAGGAGTTTGAAATAGTAGCCATGATGCCAAGGGAGATTCCAGCAGCATGTGACACAACAGTCACTATTCCTGGCATTTCCTGAACAGTAACGGGTGTTGCACTGATAATTATTGATAAAAACCCTGTTTCCTGGAGCATAATCAGATAAGTGAGTATGCCCGCATGTTTGAAAGATTTACATTCAATTGAGTTAAGTGACCTTAACTTTCAATTCTATTCTATCAGCCGATTTGAAATAAATATGGCCGTAAGTGAAAGGTGATCTGGTCATCATATCTTTTCATTAATCATACATAGAGTTATTAGACCTTTGCACACTTCTGTGAATAATCCTCCTTTCCTAACATGCCCTGGTTCTGTTATCAGAGCTGTTATGTTGTAATAACATAATGAGAACATAGGTTTTCACCATCAAGTGTAACACTCTACACCCTGTACTGTACTCCTCACCTTCTTTTCACTATATTCATTGTTATTTTTTCATTGGGATCAATAACAGTGACAAGAGCTAATATAAAAAATAGTCAGGAATTAAAAATTTGTAACCATTTTGACAACAAAAACACGACACAGGCAAGTGGGACACAAAATGTTTACTTATTTAATTAGGTGACACTGGCCTTGATCACTTGACCCCCAAATTTCAATAGGGGTCAGCAGAGCTTAACAAATGGTCTACCAAATAAATTAAGAGAAGACGTGCTGGAAAACAAGTTACTGTGAGAGCACTAAACTTTGCCCAATTGTTCCTAAAATAAATGAGCTTGTGGGTGTTCTTCAGTGCAACTCCTGAGAAATGTTTGGCGAAAGCATTATGTACAAAACCTAAATTATCATGTGCAAACCAAAATATTACAATACACAGACAAGATAATAAATTCCATTCAGCAGGTGTATAAACAGCCATCATACTGCAAATTTCATTTTTTAATCTGAGAAAACTCGGTCGAAGACACTACACCCCATATTCCATTCTTTTATTCATCAACAATGTTCATTTCCAGTGGTACCTGGGCCACAAAGAAGCAAACCTGCTTCCTGTATCAACACAGTGCTCCATCTCTTTATATCCTGTAATGATGGAATGAGAGGCAGCAGCAATATTTGTTCTGTGATTAGGCACAAATGTTGACAACTGGGAACAGATCTCAATAAATGTACAGTACTGTGTGTTTGGCTGCATTATAAACCAATGAATGAAAGAGTATAAAATTCCATTTCATACATTTACACAGGTTTGTTAAACTGAAATTCAGCAATGAAAATCTCTGATTTGCTGTCCACACAACAAGAAGAAAGGTTTGCAATAAAAATAAAAATATATTCCAAGATACACAGCAAACTTTCCATGAGCAAATAATATTACTTGAAACAACAAAAGCTGTTGCAGCAGCAAAGCAACAAAATTCCTCCACCCCACCACACAAATACAAATTCTGCAGTAGCAAACTGAAGTGAGAAATCATATTTTCAAGAACTCCAATTGCAGATGCCTGTGAGGGAAACAGCTCAAAGATAAAACACATATTATGGGGAAAGTATCTCCATTAGAAGAATATCTTCTATGTATCTGTGAAAATCTCAGTTGGTAGAAATAACTTGTTATGCAACTTAAATAAAAATAATATTGGTGAAATAGTAAACCAATGAAAAATCTTAAAAATAAAAATAAAATCCTACAGTATCTATGCAACAGCTGTCACTGGCTGACACTAACCTGCAGTCAGAGCGAGAACAGTGTCCATTTTGGAAGTCATAGCAGAAGGTGAGCCAGGAACTACGCTGTTTTTTACTTCCAGGTTCAGACGGAGGATGATAAAAGCGACACTCATCGCCACGCCTGCACATGTTGCGGATAAAGTCGCGGCATACAACTCTGTCTGCACTCTCCTCACCTGGAGCACGGACTGGACTTCTTTTTCGATCGTCTGGACCTGAGCGGGAGCGGCTGGATGACCTAGGGTGATAAAATTTGCAGAGAATCCCACGATCACACCGGTTGTGAAGGAAGTTGCGACAAACCTCCCTCTCCTGCCCCCGATGACCAGATTTATCATCACGGCCATGCCGCCCTCTATCTCTGCTACGGCTGTTCTCTCTCTGTCGGCTGCGATCATTTTTCTGATTGGTGTCTACCTTTTTCACATCCTTTCCAGCTTTTTTGGGGTCTTTTGCATCCTTCTGGGATTCTTTTCCTCCTTTAGAAGGAGACTTATCCTCCTTTTTGCAATCTTTTTCTACCTTTAAAGGCTCCTTCTCTGTATTCACTACAGGGGCAGTTACCGGCACCTTCTTCTGCTCCTCTCCTTTCGGCGATTGCTTAGTGGCCATTACGCTGGAAGCAGAGGGATGACCAACTTAGCCAAACTTGCTGTCACATTGGACAACCCCCAAGAAAACACAACAAGAAGTAAACATCTCCCCATTCACAGCTCTTCACCTGAACATCTGAAAATGACAGGCCCACAAAGAAAAAGGGGCCTTGCTGAGGTAACATCATTTACAAATCTACAGATGCTATTTCTATTTTCACTTCAACCCAGCAATTACAGATCAAGAATATTCTAGGAACTTACAATATAATAGTAATGAGAACAGCTGCAACAGACCAATTTAGGGTGGGATGATTAAGTCTAGTGCAGTTATGCCAAAACCCACGAAGTATGAGGCATCTTCTTAAGCATGAAGAAATTTCTGGGTGATCAGGGACCCTCAGATATTGAAGATAATCAGCTCATGGTGCATTACTCTGTTTAGTTATGCAAACTGAGTCTACAGCAGCAATCATATCCATATTTTGGATAGTATAGCTGTCTTTATTTATTAAATGTAAATGCATTCAACACTTGGACAGATGATTGGAAGCCAGTGAGCTGATGAGTCACCATGATAGTGCAAAAGATTGTTGTCAAATTGTAATGGTGGTGTTTATTCAGTAGAAAAATTTAGTCAAGTCTTCAGGCCCCTGACCTCCAGGTACTCTTATATCAATCTCATAAGAAGTGTATACTGTGGGGCCAAGTTGGGGCATTTTAAAGGAACATTTCACAAGTACAATTTTAGCAGTTACAGCAGATTAATCTTTCAGTTGCAGTAAACAGTTTTGTCATCAACAGCACAGCACAGCACAGCAGCAACAGTAGCAGATTCAGCTCCTTTGGCAGCAGCAGTTGAGACTTTATCTTCAAAAAAAAAAAAAAAAAAAAAAAAAAAGCACCACACAACTTCTGATGAGTGAACAGCAGCAAACAGCTTCAGCTTCGACAGCAGCAATGCAGCAGTTACAGTAGCAAACTCAGGTGGAAAAGTTGCTTCGGAGGAAAGAACAGGAGCAGGCAGAAGGCAACTGCTGCTTTGAGCCTGTCTGGTGCAGTGCAGATTATAGCAAAGGCAGAAGCTAAGGACCAGCTGCAGGGTTGTCTCCTCTCTTTACCATACACTGCAAGTGAACCTTCCAAAAAGTATAATAAAATGTCAAGATTATTAAAGAAATTAGATAAATACCAGCATCAAAAAGTTCACATATAAAAGTTACAAATTTTCATCCACAAACACATGGCATACCGTACACAGCATATAAAAGTTTTAGATCCGTATGGAAAATGCTTAATCTCCATGAGCCCTATTTATTGATTTCTTCCTTTTATATTCTTTTACCCCCCTAACCCAATTGTTCAATGAAAAATTCAGTGTGCTTGGGGACAATGTACGCTCAATGACAAAGGTTGTCCAGCTCTCAGTCACAATGCGACTTTTAAACAGATGTCGCAGTGGTGTGTTTATCAAGGGGTCCAGGAGAGGCAGAAAGATAGGGTGAAATGGGAGGAAGGTTGTCAGGGGTGGAGAATGATATAAAGTAACAAAATACACTGATAATGTTAAGAATGTGATGGAGATGACTTAAATTAATAAGGATAATGAATTTATCAATAACAATACTCTTCTAAGCCTGACAAAGAACAGATACAGTACCACTAGTAACGGGTTTAAGGGTGTAAGTGTAAAAAATGGTGTAGTCGTTACACAACATTCAGCGATTTCCTTTACTAGAGGAAGGTGCCACCTACAAGAGAGGGACTAGGTGAGGTGAGACCCAGAGTACAAACCTGTGGCTTATGTCAGAATTCTAGATAAGTTTGATTGCCTCGAGCCACATATAGTACTACTTAGGGAGATTCTACTGCCAAGTTTGGTTAAGAAAATTAAGATTAGTTGAAAACTATTTAATTTTCTATTGATAGTGGTAAGAGAATTTTGCCTGCCAAGCATTGCCAGTTACCACCACTTCACCCATTCAGTGCCTTGCTGCCTGTCTCAGTGTTGGTGTAATCTAGAGATGATAATAAGGGAAAAAGCTGTTTATGTAATGTAGAACTACTTTTTGTACAATATTATATCTAAGTGTCACTGCTTTTTTTTTCAATGTATCATGCATGATGTTTTATGTTTATAAACACTCAGGTGCGACATCTATAGGTTCAAAAAGGCAGTTCCTTCTGCAGCTCTGTTCAAACCTTCCAGGTTTCGAAGTCACATTGTGGCTGGGAGCTGGACAGAACTTTCGTCCTCGAGTGTACAGTATTTCCAGCTTCAACTACTGTATATACCTATCAACTATTTTCATACACACTTTTTGGTAGTGGTGGTGATAGGAGTGTGCTTCTGTGATGTTTTGTTGCAGCAAATCTTCCCTTATTCTCCAGTCAGTTTAATACTATCTTCTGCATTCTCATGTAGGCACCACATTTTGAAGACCTCTAGCCTCTGGTAAATTGTTCATACTTCTGACCCATAAAATAGTACTGACCTCTTCACTACAGAGATGCCACTTTCAATATTTGATATGGTTAACACAAGACAATTTTATTCAGCTCAGAGGTGATCCCATACCAAGGAGTTATGCAGCAGCCTTTTTCTCAAGATAAAACAACTCTCCCCTTTTAACAGGCTTCTAAGATTACCGTACAGTAGAATCACAGTTAACCAGTGTCTATGGATGTGGCTTAGAAATAAAGAAAATATAATATAAAACTATAAAATAAGAAAAATGAAGAGCATGGGTGTGTATGTGTCGGAAGTGAACGTGTGTGTAGGTGGTGGGCTATAAATACTTCTCTGACTCACCAGCCCAGCCAACTCATTTATTGTTTCTGTACAAGTACTCCTGTACTTGTAATTGAACTATAAAAGTTGTCAAAAAATCATTACAATACTCTAATGGGGCCTAGAAATAAAAGAAATATAATATAAAACTATTAAATAAGAAAAAATGAAGAGCATCAGTGTATATGTGGGAAGTGAATGTGTTGAGGCGGTGGGTTACTGGGCTATAACTGCATGGTTGAGCTCCCTCCCAATGTGATGTCACGGCATACATATAATTACAGGAGCCACATGTCTGAGTTAGCTGGTTGACTGCCTGAGCTGTGTCCTGTCATCCTGACCCACCCAAGGATGGGTGTGGAAGAAGCTATTTTTTGTATATAAAATATGTGCTACAGGGGGTCTCCTACCTACGAACGTCCAACTTACAATCTGCCGTTGATACGAATAGGGTTAAACTTTAAATTTACAGTATTTTATTTACCCGATGACCTATTTTTCACTTTCATTTCCTGTATTTTGTCACTACTGTATATTTCTTCTTTTGTCTTAAATTAAGTGGTTTTAGATGTATATAAGGTCTTAGGCTATGATATAGTAGTGGAATTTTAAACATTGTTTTGTAAGTATGGTATGCACATAGCATGTGTTCCGACTTACGTACAAATCTGACTTAAGAACATCCCCAGGAACGGGACTCGTTCATAACTCGCAGACCCCTGCACAGCATATTGTATTTTATGATATGCCACGTACTTATCGATTTTATTATTTATCATAGCAATAAATATGGCACCTCATTCACGTTGTGTGCGGTATTCAAACTTACAATTCTAGCTCCTGATTTGAAGGAATTTTTATTATGAATTCATTTGGTGCCGGTTAGTTGAATCTACCGGTTGTCCAGATAACTGGGATTCCACTGTATAATGTTTTTGCTTGACTTAGTGTTTAATTTATCCTTCAAATCTACCCTTAAAACTTCTGTTACTTCTCAGATACACAAAATTTTCCAATAGTTTTAATTTTCCTGTGGCCCATCATGATGTTAAGTAGTACTGTATATTTTACAATGTATTTTTAACTAGGAAACAACCATTGTTTCCATCAGGATCAAATCTCTGCCCTTTCTGCAAACCTACTGGCCAGTGTTTGTAATGGGCCTTCATTACATGAAATAAAAGTAACTACAGTGTCTATATCTGCACAAAGATTTGAAATTACTTTACCAGAAACTTATATTCTTCCATTACCACTTCCTATTTTTTTAACCAGCACTGCAGCTTCCTCATGCCAGTAAAAATTAAAAAAAATTATGTCTCCATTATTAACACACAAGCAACGTGACACATACAGGCATCCAATTGGGGCTGTTGCCTCAAAGTGTCATTCAAGAGAACAAAATTCATGAGAAATAAAGTAATTCTGATCGACGCTTGAGATTTTGGCCCATCATTCTGGTAGGCCTCCCCGTTGTGGTAATCCAACACTAATTGGTGACTTGGCAACAGTCCATAGCATGCCGACCATAAGACATCAGTGTTGTCCCGGCAGTGAAGCTAGAAGGGCGAGTGAGTGAGCTCTTTAAATTTTATCTTGATATCCACCCCACACACTTGTGCCATCCATTGTACAGTACTATTAGCCTGTAAAGTGTTTGTAAAGCATTCACTTATTTACTTTTTACAATATTTTATTTGCAGTTGTATAAAAATTTGTAACCATCATGTGTGTAAAATGTGCCATAATGCCTTTCTGTAGTTACGATAAATGTCTTTGCTCTTTGTAAAAGTGATGAGAAGTGTTGTGAAGTATTTTGTAAGTGTGTATTTTACAATATTTCACTTGTTCAAACTTGTAAGCATCACATGTGAACTGCACAATAAATTCCCTTTCTGCCAGGAAATTTAAATCTCCCCACCCCACCATGTGGTATTTCATCACTCTCATAGTGCAGTTTTCTTTATGTTCCTATATTGCTACTGATGACCTTGGCAGCACAGCTTGCCTGTGATGACGAGTCAGAGGAAGGCGGGAAAGTATACCAAGTCGCGCATTAGTTGAGTAGTTACACTCATACAGAGCTAATGTACACCCCCTATGTCCTGCTATCCCCACACCCAAAAAGAAGTGTCAGCTGAAAGAAAACCTGAAGACGACATACGAGAAGATAAGGAAAAATAAATTACAAGAACAACAACAGATGGACACAGCTGCCGAGCCACACATCAT